ATTTATTTTAAGTTAAAGATCTATCAGACGAAAAAAAACACCCTTTATATGTACACAAAATTTTATCACTGGATCCACTACAACAGTTCACACTAAACTTGTGAATTACATATCCAATGTTGATTTTTTGAAAAATTAAGTGTTGAAAACGAAAGATAACAAAAGAAATTAAAAATGTAAAAAAAAATAAATTCATTTTGTAATGTGTTTTCAAATGCAATTGTAAATTTTCCGTCGTCGTATAATTTTCCCTACAACATCGCATTTCCGTGTGCAAATGAGTTTTTGCACGAATCACCGTGAACCCCACTTTCATTTTCTTAGAAAACCGGTCACAAGGTAAAGAAAGTGTGTATTGAAATGTCAAAATGGTTTCAGTCGAGAATATCTCATTGTTTGTTTGAAAGATTGAAAATGTGTCATAGAAGTGATGCCACCCCAAAATTGATCACTAACTACTAAAATTCATAGTCAACAGATTAGTCCTATGTACATTGCAATCGAATTTTTTTTCGCTGGGTATGATTCTATAATCGTTGATGAAATTGGCTATATTTCCATTCGAAAACTCGATTTAATCAAATTCGAATTAAAGCGTCTCTCTCTCTCTCTATGTATTTTATGTGAGAGAAAATGTACACAATGTAACACATGTGACATGTGGCTACTTAAATTTCTCTCTATATATTCCAAAAATCAGCCTCGAATCCTAGGGGATATCCATGCGAATTAGAATTAGCACATTAGCAAAAAAAATAGGGAAATTTACATGAAGAAAATAGCAAAATTAGCAATAAATAGCAGAATTAGCACTGTACACGTATATACTTTAGTAAGCATTTATTCTTGAATATATTGAAATAATTAATTAAAATAAAATTCACAAAACAAACGAATTGAATAGTGTTGAACTAAAATGTATCAAAATATGTAGTTAAATATGCTTTTTCTCATTTTTAAATAAAAATATATTCAATGGCAAGTAACCAAGCACGTTTCATCTGTATTAACTACAATTTACGAATTGCAATCGGAAATGTAGATTTGATGACAGATTTCTTACTGAAAACGTATACGCTAGTGCCTGCTTCAAATATACACGTTGAAAGTGTCAACTTGAAACATTTACGTAAACACATTTCAGTTATTCGATCATGCTGTCAATCTGACGTATGCAATATTTTTGACGTACTAGAGAAATTAGCAAAAAATAGCAGTATTAGAACAAACTAGTAGAAATACTAGCAGAATTAGTGAAAAATAGAGAGAAATAGCGTTTATTATTATAAATTATTCGATCTGCAATTCACGGTTATCCCCTAGCTCGAATCCTTTTTATTTCTCCGTCGGTTTTGTTGGTTCCCGACAATAATTTTGTATTTTCTACCTTCTCTTTTGGTTACTCTTTTTTTTCTTGTTAAATTGGTTTGTGGTCGAAATAATAAGTACCTGCATATTTGTTGTATTTCTATCAGCCAGTAGAGCTGAACATGCGTGTGAGGATTTCTTTTTTCTATACATGCTGTGGTAATGTTCTTGCACATATATTTTTTCCTTTTGTTGCTTTTTCAACCGATAAGTCGGTACCGCATAATCACATAAGCAAAATGTTTGTTCGTTGTGCGCAAAGAAGAAAAAAAAACAACAGTGTGCATCAACATAGAAGAAACGATAGGAATACAGCAACAACCAAAAGTATTTAAAAGCCACAGTGTGTGAATATATATGCGATAATTTGTATGTTTCAATGATTTGTATAAATGTTTGGGCCTGCTGTGTGAAAAGTTCTATATGAAATCAAATGGGAATGGAAGGGCGCTCATTTGCATTCAGCATGTTTTGGTTAACGGCGGTGTGTGCATGATTCCCTCTCTTTCTTTATATCTTTTCCTCTCTCTCTATGCGCGCTTGTGTGTATGGAAAATATCCTGTCGCAGCAAAACGCTGAAATCCGTGTACAGTGCGCAATATATATTGCTGGTAAACACATTATAAAGGGTTATTCAATAAGAATGGAATAAAATGGCAATAAATTATTATTTAAATTGCTTGATGCTGGAACCAGGTCATTACATGGAACCGGACATCATTCTAGTTAAGCTTTGTTGACCCATTATTCACTTTTGAATGACGACGGAAGATATCGGGAAAAACTGGGAATAATTCCAACTGCGCTTTTAAATTTCAATGACTTTCAAACGTATTTGTCTGTGGGTTAAAGCCCATGCATGGTTAAACGGAATATATACTAATCAAAGTCAACGTTAAAATATTTAAATTGAATAACCCTTCAATAGCATCAAATGCAACATCGACAAACGCACAACTTATTGCAAGAGTCTTACTTTTCAATTAGACACAATAATTTTCTATGAGCGTAACACCAACTTTTACGATTTAAAAGCCTCAGTTTATTAGTAAACATGTCACATACAATTGCATAAAACTGAAATTAGCAAAACTTTCATAAAACCATTTTTCGTTGTCGTCGAATCGCAAATTTATATTCCATTTACATACGATGTGTTACGCTCACACCACATGCATCACCACCAACATGATGACGATGTCGTTGTCGGCGTCATTATTGTCGTGCCCGGAAAACGGGTTAGTGAAGCACTCAAAAAAAATTCATACAGAGACCGACCAAACTTCATCGTTATCAATGCACGAATTTTATGAGTTGTTTCGTAATTTGGTATAACGGTCACATAATCTCTTTCTCTCTCTCTCACTGGGTATTTTGGAGGACCAATGAATACCAAAACTAAACGTACAAATCGATCATTCCTTTCATTGCACAGTAATATGTAACACTTTATATACATGTGTGCGGCTGCAAGCATATATGGACGTAAAATGCTTGAAGCGTTTACGTGTTTTAATTCGAAATTCGCCAATGAATTTTTTCGTTGAGAATCATGACATACAATGCCACTATCAAACATACATGAGCATATCTTCATGCTGAAATGATTGTGACGTGTTTGGCTTGCATTCTATTTTTTAAAAAAACTAGCTACAAAAAACCACATTAAATATGAGGCCATTTTACTGCATTTCACTTTCGATTGACTGAACAGACTTTTACTGAAGGCAATTCACATATGTATAGATAGTCAAGTTTGACGAATATAAGCCTACAGACCAGGCGATTTTGGCAACATTAGTTAATTGAGATTGATTTCTTATGGTCGTTAGCGGCTAATTTTTCAGAAAAAGTTTCAGCTTCCTAATAGTATTTAAGTAAAATGTATTTTTTTGACCGATGATGCGTACGTAGACAGTGGCACTCCCAACGACATTTACAATAAACTTCTGAAAAACACATTTTTTGTTTCGACAGTTTGAACACTTGTATGTGGCGACTCCGCTGTACACCGAACACAGATTTTAGTCAATGAATTCTGCTTGAGTAAACAATGACAAAAAAAAACACAAACAGACATTAACATTCACATCAACATCACAGTATAAAACTAAGTATCATTTTTTTTTCAGAGTCGAATGCGATGACAATGCAAAGCCAGCGAATTTGGCGAATTCAGCCGTTTTGAAACTGCTGGAAGAAGAAGAACGTGAAAAGCAAGCTGGGGGTAAGTGAACAATTAAAAATAAACGCTTTTTTGTGTTCGTTCATACAATTCTATACGCGTCATGTTCATCATATACACGACATAAATCTTTATCTTATGACATTGAATAATCGAAAAACAAAATCAAAGAAAGTCCGCATGAACGGGCAAAAAATATTGTCAATATTAAATATAAATGCCCCTAGTCTAAACTTGTTCTGGCACGATTAGTGAATTCTAAAGCATAAATGATGTTTGGTCATTTATCAAGATGTTTTTATGACATATGATTTTTCGACAATGAATGTGAGACATCTCTATATGGTGAATGAATTTTTATATGGTGGTGTTACATTTCAATAAAATCTCGCCGTCAGGAGAAGTCTCATATTCATTCTCGAACATAGCTGGGCAGACTGAAAAATTCAGGGGGGGATTGGGGGGTAATTTTCTCAAAAACTCCTAGCAAAATAGGAAAATTTCATCTATTATCCAAAAACCCTAGCAAAATGAGAAAAATTCTATCCAAAATCATGAATTTTGTAAAGGGGTAACGCAAAAATTTGGAGGGGGTAATCCCCCCCCTGTCTGCCCAGATATGTTCTCGAACAATCATATGAACTAGCATATGAATTCGAGCTCCTTCTACAAAGTCTGCTTTCTTGATGATAACAATTTTGCAAACTGGTTTCACTTTTCATAGACACTGGTGGTTGATGTCCTGCTAACTTTTTTTGTTCTTCTTCCGCCATTGTAACTGCTTCTTGAGGAAAAGTAAATCAATTAAAATGTAAAATTACAACTGGCACAAAAGCCAAAATGAATAAAAACAAGAAGTGTCCTTAAAACATTGAAGTTTTAAAGATGAAAGATTAGCATTCGCCCTCCACTTTTTCTTGTTACTGCGACAAAAAGCATTTTGTATATCTTTACATCTCCGAATATTTGTATCATTCAGAGAGAAAAAAATTCACTGAAATGAAAACTTATATTCTGCTGGACTCCAGACGTGACGAAAATAACAATTCCATATTTGGTTTTTATTTTTTCTCTCTCTCTCTTTCTCTTTTACATCAAGCTTAAAACACCAAATAAAACCACTGCAATGTAATGAGCTTTAAACTAAGTTTTATAATTTTCACTTGATACAAATGTGGCGACATCGAATCACACTATGAATCAAATAAATTCTGAGCAAAAGTTTTCAACGACAAATTCAATTACGTAAACGTCAACCGGCTAAGCCTATGAAGAGACAAAATGCGAATTCCCCTCATCTGTGCCATCTTGTATTCCATAGTTGAACTCAATTTAGTTACAATGAATTGAATCGAAAAAGAGAAAAAAAACAACAACAGTAACATGGCTACATAGATCTGTTGACCAGTGAGATACGTATAGCAATGGAATGAAAGAATGAAGAAAGCGTATATGTGTATGTATGCATCAGCACGCATAGATGTACAGCTCTGTGTGGCCGTGCTATTGTTGTTGTTTTTTCACTTTTTCATTTCAATGCTACAGAATTAAATTCAGTTTTTGCATCTAATTCACACTAAAATCAGATGGCGCTCATTAGCGAGATTCGCAAAAAAAAGTCTCCAATCTCATACAAATATACACCGGCTGGTAAACGTTTCATTTTAATGGGAAATTGTATTTTCTCACGAAGATTTTGGGTTTGTTTTTGGCCATCAGAAAATCTCATAAGGTAGAAATATCGGTAACATGTTGCATTTTGTAGTTGATTTAGTAAAAAAACTGTTTTTTCGGTCGATTTATTATTAAATTACTTTGAAATCGTTTTTGACTGCTTTATATTTGAAGTATTCCTATGTCGTAAGAAAATCATCGAACACGATAAAAGTAAAACAGATTTCAAGCTCCCAAAATCCGATCACTCGATTCAAAAGCTGCTGTCCAATCGATTACGTAAATCAGAAATCATTTGCTTTTTTTTTATTCATTTTCATTTTATAATTGTGTGAAAGGAAAAAGTCTTAAATTCTTTTTTTTTAATCAAACAAATGCTATAATAAACTCATATAAAACCTGCCAAATTGTGGTTTTTTGCTAATTTTCCACAGATACCTATCAAATCATTTAACTTACACCTAATACCTCAAATGTTCAATGTACAGTCTACTGACTGTAACTCATAAGAAACATATGTATATACCAACCAAAATATTTATAAAATAAACATTACAATTGAGAATAATAGAAAATCAGAAAAAATGACTTCAAAAGACTGATTGAATAATGCTCCTTTATAATAATGATAATGTTTTGTACAAGGATACCAAGAAAAAAGCGCACCTTATGTACTGAGTACTGCTTGTTGACAAACAAAGAATTATAATAACTATGTTTGCATTTAAAGCAATATAGTGTTTAATGAAACGTGCGCATTTTATGTGCGTGTACATTGCCATCTGTCAGAAATGTGAATTTACCATCAATTTGGTAGAAATATGCGGTGTACAACAGTTCCATGTTCTATGGATGACCAAAAATTATTCCAAACGTTTTGAAAGCGGTCCGAATCTATATTTTAAACTTTTGAAAATCTCTTTTATTTAGATGTAGAATAATTTGAAGTTGTAGAAGTGCAAAATAAACGAAAATGTTAAAGTTATATCAATGTGTAGGTTCGAAAACATTTTCGCCAGCCTTAGTGCTTTTATTCCGTTTATCTCTATTACATTTACCTCAAGATAAGTTTCTAGTTTACATTTTTCTTACTTTTCTGCACAGGAAAAAGTATAATTACGTCAAAAAATATTCATACTCCGTAGATGGGAAAGCATATCAAGCTTTTTAAATTATACCTAACAATTTATCAGTATCGTAATTTAAAAATCGGATTTAGATAATGTCTTCAGAATGAGAGAATGACTATAAATAAAAAAACATAGATTTTGACATCAATATCGATTTGGAAGGGTAACAAAAAGTGAAAATAACCATTGACATTCAGTGATCTTTACCTTAGAATGCAATAAAAATAACGATGTTTATCTCTTGCTACTTTTACGACAAACGAATTGGAAAAGTTGGTGTTATTGGTGTAGAGCAGTTTTCATTTTATTTTAATTTGTAGACGAGAGTATAAGTAGATGAATGAAAGTTTCCACACGACTAAAGAAATTGCGTATGCATTTCAACTTAACGCGAATATTTTCTCGTTCCAGAGGTCAAAACGAGAAAACGAGGAAGAAATTGTTGAGCAGTGTATGTGCTGAAAAGTTTGCATTAATCTCTCAAATTTATTACCAACTCAAGGTATGATTGCATAATATTGCATACGATCTCAACCTACAAAACGAACAAACTTACTGACGAGCAGGGATGCAATAAAAGAATTAAAAACAACATTTGTACACAAGAAAAGAAAAAAAAAGAAGAGAAGAAGATCGAAAACGAAGAAAAAAATGCCGTTAACGTGGATTGAATTGAACGAAGCGAAATACTGAAAACGAATGGAATAAAAGAAACGTGCCGAAAGAAAGAATGCACAAAATTCAAAGAATAGGAAATTATTCAAACTAATATTTCAACTGTGAAGGGAACTCTTTTCAACAGATAGAAATGTACTAGAACAAAAGAGAACGGAATGAATGTTGGATTTTGAAGCGTTGTGAAATACAACAGCATAACGAACATACATTCACGCTTTAGTGTACACGAACGCTTTGTTGAATCACTCTATGAAGCAATATTTAATTTTAATTTAATAATAGACTTGGTTGTTTGAAGCAAACGAACGCGCTTCCGCGCTCACAACAGACTCCATGGAAAATATTTAATTTAAAAGTTAGGCGCGCACGGCACATGATGAATATTTAACTTTTTCTCTCTCTTTTGCACTCTGTTTGCCGTCTCTTCGTTTCAACAATTTTACGTTTACCATAGATCGATGCAAAATGAAATTTCACTTGATATGCATCATTCATGTTGTTGGTGCTCAAATGAGCGCAAAAATATGTTTTATTATATTGATAATGAAATTGGAAAAACTGACGACAGACAACAAGACAGCGATGCAGCAATTTTAAACCATTAAACATATAATCATGTGACAAACTCAATGAATCGACTAAGAATTGTAAAAAAATAGTGTGAAGCTGCAATGGCAAATAAAAACTTAAAACTTGTATAATCGATGTTATATTGCATTGATATTCAATAGTTTTATACTGTAAAACATAACATCTGCTCCTGTGAAATGCCATACGCTAGGGGAGACACCAATTCCAATGGAATCAATCAAATTAAAATAAATCGGTTTGAATTACTATTACGAGTAAAATGGAATTATTTCATATCACTTTGAATCATTTAAAATCAAAACGTGACCGTTTTGTATGAAAATTTGTTTTGAATCTAACTGCCAATGTTTTTTTGAATTGAATTATTATTTCGATGTAAAATGAAACTGATTGAAAATTCATAGATTTTGTTGCTTTAAAGCAATCTATTCGTAAAATATGAAAATATCAATAAACAGTACGGCTGTAGTTTTCATATATTGTTGATTTGAATCTTAAGTGTAAAGAATGCTTTTCAGATGAAACAAGGAATTTATGACACATTTTTCGAACGACGAAAAAACATTTCCGAGCGTCAGTTCAAAAATATCTCCATATTTTATGCTTTTAATGGAACAAGAATTTTTGATGCAAGTTATTGCGTAGTGCGTACACTAATTGCATCAACTAATGCTTTATTTAAATTGCAAGTGAATTATTTCATACTTGATATGGCATCTTCAAAAAAGGCGAATGAGTTTTTTTCCGATATGTTTTAAAGCCGGAACGTTTTTTGTTTAATAGTGGGTAATTTTTCAGCGTTAATTTTGCCATTCAAGTATTAACTTGATATTCTAAAGATGCCCAGAATCCCTCTTCCTGAGTTTATTTAAAACATTTGAAATAATGCACGGTTCTTCCAAAAAATCACACATTCTTATGATAAATAGTAAATGGTTCGACAGTTTAAGATTCATTGTTCAAATACTT